TAATCCAACCTAATTTCACATTATGACATACGATCAGGAAATGCACTGGCCTATTTCTACTACATGCTCCTGATAGATCATGAAGTTGTTTAAAATCATAATTGCATGAAACTTATTAAAAAATAATAAAAACATCACTGTATCAAGCGAAAACATGGATGGCCATTTACTTGTAATATGTATCTTGAACTTAACATTCATCATCGTGACATCGACCGTGTAGATTCCATGTGAGATTTTGAGAACCACGGTAAACATGGCATACACCCTGTAGAAATGTTTAATATATTTTCTTTCTTACTGGTTTTATTCAAAAGTCTTTATTAATCATTATTTTTTTTAAAAGATCTTTAAAATTGCGACAGTGAATGATAAGCTTCCTCTCTCTCTCTCTCTTTTCTCTCTATCTCTCTTCGAAAGCTGACAAGGTATTCATTTTTTATAGATTTGAAAGGCCTGGGGAAGTTACAAGTATTATTCCAGCAGTTTCTACAATGAAGGATGTTTTTTAAACATATATATTTTTATAAATATCCTGAAATACCGGTATCTGGCTTTCATATCGTGATATATGTGGATAATACCGAAATATACCGATATACCTGTAATATTGCACAGACCTATCTTTAAGTTTTAATGTATCGCATACTACTAGTATTCATTTTTTTCTTCATAGAACAAAACGTTCATTAATTTAAAAAAAAAAAACATCATGTAACTCTGTGCCCCTGCTAAAGGAAAAAAAAACCCAGCACGTACAGATCTAAAGGGGGGTGGGTTAAAAGGGGACTCAAATACAAACCAAAACACAGCCTTATCTGTTTTTAAAATCCATTATTTTTTTTCACCTGCAATCTCAAAACAGGTACATGTAGAACAAAATATTTCACTAAAAATATTATATAGAAAATATGTTCAAATTATAAAATCATCTATGAGGAACTTTATGTTTATATAGCTATCACATATTTCTTTTTTACTTTGAAAGATAGAAAGATAGAAAGCGAGAGAAAAAAAAAAAGATTGGCCACTTTTCAATCAAAATATCCATCCTCATCATAAAAAAAATGGATCAACAATCATAAACTTTGTATACTTTGAAAACTAATTGCAAATTATGACCAATGTTATTTATCAACAAGTAATTCTAACTCCTAAAGCATTTAAAACTATTTTTAGCAAAGAAAAGTAGCAAATAATCTTCAACATGATATGTAAAATATTAGTGTAAAAATCCATTGAATTTTAGGTTTAAAAGAAAAAAAAAAACAACAATGCGCCTATTATTTAAACGAACAATGAACAAAAGCGTAATATACTTTTGCAAGTAACTGTACGTTGTCAATGTAAATAATGAAACGTTCTATTTTTAAACGATTGGTGTAGGAGCTAAATTTTACCTCTAAAATGACATAATATAATCTAAATTGATTTGTACATTTCAATTATTTCCTTTTCTTTATACACTTTCTCAGATTTGGTGTTTATAAGCGACCTTTGTCCATGTTTTGTATGCAAACGACAGTCGCCTCCTCCAATGGATCATACTCGTGATGTAGTACAGGGTTTATCATATGTTATAAGAATGTAGAGGATATTATATGTATCATTTAACTTCTCTACAAAGTTTACGTACCTTTAGATGCTACATTTTTCTCTAAATACTCTCTTGTACACAGCGCCGATCGAATGTAGATCTACACTGCAGGTACTGCAGACTGTACGTCACCGGTGGTGAAAAATACGTCACAGAAACATGGTAATACAGACGACTGAATATTAGAATTTTCAAAAATTCATTGTGGCCACAGCCCACGGCCAGAATGAAACCTGTTTTTATCAACTCCTTTTATGTTCAAGAATTTCTAGTTAAAATATTTTCGTGGCCGATGCTTGTGGCCACATCGAATTTTCCCAAAAACCATGTGAAAAGTGGAGAAAAACGATATTACTCGTTTTCCGGATATGATACGTCAAAGGTTCCGGATATTACATAGCAGCATAAGACGCTTGGATCCGAATCCAAGATATGTTTACATATACAAAGACCGGATCTTACACTTTATAAAAATACATGAAAACTTGGGAGAGGCAAGCTTTATTTTTTATGTATTTTACAGGGACTAGTGACTATAACTAACGTACTTGGCTCTTTAAGAGATATATATTTCTCTATAACATGAAAGATATCTCTTTAAGTTGGGAGATATCTCTATATCTAAAGAGATATCTCTCTTAAATGAGAGATATCTCTGTATTTTTAAGATAAATTATATTTTCCGAATAAATAGCAAAAGGGCTTGCCATAAAGACATGTTATTCAAAGTCAATTATTATTTAAATTTAAGAAAGGTTAATTCATTTCCTGTGGATTAAGTTGTTTGAATGAATGCATACAGTTTATAAACAGTGTATATTTCTTTTTATTATACCTCTGTGAATTTGTTCAATATAAAAACATGACGAATAAACATGCTATCTTTTCCAAACAGCCCCTACTGTGAAATAGTTTTTGTGCTATCTGCCCATGGTGAAATAGTCATCAAACTATTCACCGGCAGCATTCTGTTTCCCTCGCTTTTCATCTCGGAAAACTTCTGTTTTTATACGGATTGTGACGCGTATGTATTATGACGTAACAAAAGTTAAGTCAGCATCGGTATAATATGGAATATCATAATTGTGTGTACCCTGGACTCCCAAAAATTAACAAAAGTTAAGTCAGCATCGGTATAATAAAACACCTATTTACTGACTATTCGGACAATAGCAAGTTTATCGTCCCCCTCGACAGCAAACTATTTCCCTCGGCTGCGCCTCGGGAAATAGTTTGCTGTCTTGGGGAACGATAAACTTGCTATTGTCCTCATAGCCAGTAATTAGGTGTATAATATTCCCTGACGTGTGAATAGTGTGTGTTTATTCTTACTTTAGGTTCCTCTGAATGTCGGTGTGTAATACACTGTATAGGCTATGGAATCCGGATAGGGCCACGCACTTCACTATCGCACCATCGAGCATCAACTTAAAGGTCGATGGTGCGATAATGCGATGGTGCGATAACGTGAAGCGATGATGCGATAGCGCGTTGACGATGATGCTATGGCGCGATAATGCGATGGCGATGGTGCGATAGCACGATTGAGCGATAGTGAATATCGCTTCATCGTCATCGTACTATCGCACCATCGTCATCGCATCATCGTGTCATCACTATCGCACCATCGCGTCATCGTACCATCGCGTCATCGCATTATCGCACCATCGTCATCGCATTGTCGCGCCATAGCATCATTGTCATCGCGCTATCGCACCATTACTTCATCGCTATCGCACCATCGCCTCATCGTCATCGCATTATCTCTTCATCGCACTATCGACCTAAACCTCGATGGTGCTATGACGCGATAGTGAAGTGCGTGGCCCTATCCGGATTCCATAATAGGCATTTGATGTTTTTGATTTATAAATACGCTATCGATGAATGTTCCGAATAGTCGACTATCGTTCGAATAATGCAATCGAATGTTCGACCAAGGAAAATAAACATTTTGACATCCCTAATTTAAACTAAATCTGATTTTTCCAAAATATAACACCTATTATGGACCAATTGTTTAAACTCATTCTTAACAAATTCATATGATTATTTCGTATTCCTTAATTAAATAAACATTGTTAATTTGCCATCATTAACGGAGCTGTTCGAAGTCGGTGTATATACTCTATAAAATACGGAAGCCAATTGGTGCCAGGTAGTAAAAATATTTTATCTGGCGCCCACCACATAAATAACTGGTTGACCAACAATCATTTGCCATGTAGCATTTTCAACAAATTACGATCGACCAGCGTACAGCAAAAGACGAAAGGACGGAAACGGATAGCACTACCCAGGGTGAATTAGATGGCGAAAAGGAATGACATTTCATGTTTCAAACAAAGCCTTTCACGAATTAAATAAACTCAATTTTCCGTTATATTTAAGGTCTTCCGTTTCCAACGGAAGACCTTCTACTGATTCTGTTGGTAAAGATTATTATTCTTTTTTTTTTCTTCTACTTCCTAGACGCCAAATTTGAGGCCTCATATCTCACTCATTTCTCAACGGATTTCGCTCAAATTTTCAGAGATTATAGACGTTTATAAACTATATCAGAATGCTGACAAAAATTTCAAAAACTCACTTCCGGTTTTGAGTTATTACCCTTTAAACGAAAATTTATAGGCTTTCGTTTCCAGACAAAGGCTCAGAGACGGCTAAAGCTGGAGCAGAAATTTTACTGATTTTAGATAATAGAAGGATTGAAGTTGTGCACATCGGTTTTCGTTTTTCGATTTCTCTATTCAAAATGGCGCTATATAGGGGTCAAAAATTAGAACGCATAAAAAAAACAAAAATTACTCATATTTTGCTTTTTATCTTCTAAACTAAAAATATTTTGTTAAAATATATAGAACATAATTTGTTCAGAATTAGAAGATCTTTCAAATGATATGTCAGAAAAAGGGCCGACCCCTAAATTAAGGGATCTAGAGGGGCCAGAATTTTTTTCCAGATATCTCGAAAAGGATTGAGAATTTGCTACACATCAAAGAAGCAAAGTTGTTGAAAATGTCAAGCTTGATCAAAATACGTCTAGCGTCGTAACTTCCGGCTAAACCGGAAGTAGTCGGAAAACGCGTATTTTTGCCGTTTTTGGCAAGTTTTTGGGTAACATATGTCTCTGGGAGCTTAAAAATTAATTTTCCGTGCGTCGTCGTCACTTCCGGTAAACCGGAAGTAGCAAAAAATGACTTATTTTTGCATTGATTAACATAGTTTTAAAGGATTCAAAGCATTTTGGGCGTTATTTCTCATTTTTGTTAAAAAATGAAAGCTACTTCCGGTCAAACAGGACGGAAGACCTACTCGTTGCTTTGCAACGAGCTCTGCTCTAGTTATTTATTATTTTTTTTCTTTGTGTACATATAAAATAAAACGCGAACGTATGCATTTATCAGTTTATCTTCCAGCCAGCAAAGGATGTCTTTCCGTGATAATCACTCCCGATATTTCCATAGTTATTGTCAACCTGAGTGCGCACAAACACATCGTCACCCTGGTTGGCGTGAATGACAACTAGTCCCGTAACACTGTGGTCGTCAGTCATGGAATGCAGGAATACCGAACCAGAACTGATTTTGTTAACCATCAATTCCGTTCCGTGTGTCGCATGAGTCCACTGCCTCATAACCCATGTGAAAACGTAGAGACCAGATTCGGGGACAATAAAAACTCCTGTATTTGGATGGTAACCATTGCCATCGTTTGTTATGACTGTGTCGAAGATCAGAGTGTGAAAACTACTCGGATTTACCAGGCTGGTGGACATGTAGGCATAGAAAGCGACATTGCCCTCCGATGGAACTGTTGTCGGTCCAAGTATTCTCTCTGTATGAAGAAAGAAATTGAAATTCTGAATTGAATTACTAGTATTCTAGTACTACTAGAATCCGGATATGGCCATGTAATTCACTATCGCATCATCGATGCCATGGAGCAATGGCGCGATAGTGCAATGACGATAATGCGATGGAACAACAACAATGGTGCGATAGCACGATGAAGCGATAGCGATAGCGATGACACGATAGTGCGATGGTACAATGACGATGAAGCGATATTCAGCGATATTCACTCGCTTCATCGTGCTATCGCACCATCGTTATCGCGCCATGGCAGCATCCCCATCGCGCTATGCGCCATAGCTCCATCATCATCGCACTATCGCTTCATCGTTAGCGCGCGACTTTTTAGCCGATGCTCGATGGTGTGATAGCGAATTGCATGGCCCTATCGGAATCCGGAAATTGCAAATCACTATCGCATCATCGCACCATCATAGTTTAGGTCGTTGGTGCGATGAAGCAATGATGCGATAACGATGAACCGATGGGGCAATAGCATGTTGACGATGATGCAATGGCGCGACAATGCGATGACGATAGTTTGATAAAACGATGGAGCGATAGTGCAATGGTGTGATGGCGATGACATGATGGTGCATGACGATGATGCGATGGCGCGTCAATGCGATGACGGTGATGCGATAAAGTGATTGTGCGATGACGCAATGCAATAGTATGGAATCCGGATAGGGCCATGCAGTTCACTATCGCACCATCGAGTATCGACTAATAGGTCGATGGCGCGATAATGCAATGGTGCGATAACGATGAAGCGATGACGATGGAGCTATGGTGCAATAGCGCGATGACGATGATGCGATCAAGCGATAATGCGATGACGATGGTGCGATAGAACGATAGAGTAAAAGTGAATATTGCTTCATCGTTATCGTACTATCGCGTCATCGTCATTGCACCATCGTGCCATCACTATCGCAACATTGTGTTATCGCACCATCGCTTCATCGTGCTATCGCATCATCGCCATTGCATTATCGCGCCATAACTTCATCGTTATCGCACCATTGCTTCATCGTCATCGCATCATCATGTCATCTCATTATCAACCCAAACCTCGATGGTGCGATGATGCAATAGTGAACTGCATGGCCCTATCCGGATTCCATACAATAGCGATGACAAGATAATGTACCGGAAAAGCTATGCACACAAAGTAATATTATTGGATTTGGACTGGTTAAAAGAGGTTTGCGTTTTGGAAATTTAAATGTATGTCATATAATACCCAAAATTGACGAAATCAAATTGTTGCTTCAAGACAAACATTCTCTCGATATTTTAGGCCTCTGTGAAACATTCTTAAATGATAATTACTGTGACTCAGGTTTAGATATTGATAGATTCACTTTCGAGAGAAAGGATAGACGTTTTAAGTCAGGTGGGGGAATTGTTGTTTATATATCAAATGATATTACTTACAAGCGTAAAACTGAATTTGAAGTAAGTAATGTTGAAACAATATGGCTAGAAATCAATCTTAAAAATTCTAAACCTATTTTTTATTGCTCTGTATACCGTCCACCATCTGCCCCCTCTTGCTGGGTAGAGGATTTCGCTAGGGAGATAAATATCGCCTCCTGCTGTGACGACAGTGAAATTATTATTACAGGTGACTTTAATATTGACTTACTCAAAGACCCCCCGCTATGCTGGACATCTGCTTTATAGGAATTTGGACTAAAACAAGTAATTAATGCACCCACTAGAGTTACTAACACCTCCTGTACTCTTATTGATCACTTTTATACCACCATACCAGATAACATATGTGAAGTTAATGTACCACCAATATCCTTATCTGACCATTACCCTATTTGTGCAACCCGGAAATCTAATTGCATGCAGCGTAGAAACAAGCACATGGAAATTAAATACCGTGATTTCAAGAACTTTAACGAAGCAAATTTTCTGTCTGACCTAACAAATGAAAATTTTGATAGCCTTACAAAATTACACGATCCTAATGACATTCTTGATAAATTCTATATAATGTTTAATAACGTCCTTGACAAACATGCTAAAATAAAATGTAAGAGAGTTAAGACTGAAACTAGACCAAAGTGGCTAACTAAAGAAATAAATGAAGCTAGACATTTTCGAGATTTTTATCACCATAAAGGGGATTATGAAAATTTCCGAATATGGAGAAATAAAGTTGTACTCCTGATTGACAATGCAAAAGCTTTGTATTACAAATCAGCCATTGAAGACAGTTCAAATCCAAAAGAGATGTGGGGATATTTAAATCAATTGGCGTCTAATACTAAAACTTTTACTCCTTCCCATATCACTCATAATGACTCAGAAACTAACAGTTCACAAGAAATTGCTAATATTTTTAATCAACACTTTACAGGAATTTCAAGTAAACTTTTAAATAATTTACCAAACTGCAAATTCAATCCAGAATTGTTAAGACAATTCACAAAATCTAAACTTGGTGATAACTTTTCTAGCCTCACACGAATCAGTGAAACAGAAGTATTTGATTCGTTGAACGGACTTGATGTCAATAAATCTGCAGGCATTGACTTCATAGGACCTCGTCTCCTAAAACTAGCAGCAAGTATCATTAATAAATCAGTCACTCATTTAATCAATGCTAGTATCAGTAGTGGTAGTTTTCCATCAAAGTTGAAACAAGCAAAAGTCACCCCTGTATATAAAAAGGGCAACAAAGCAGACCCCAGCAACTACCGTCCCATTTCTATACTTCCAACACTATCCAAACTAATTGAAAAGCACATAGCTAACCAAATGCGAGATTTTACCTCCACTTTTGACCTTATAACGAAATCTCAATCTGGGTTCAGAGAATTTCACTCTTGTCAAACAGCACTTACTAAATTAACAGATGCTTGGTTGAATGCTATGGACGAAGGTAACCTCATAGGTATAACATTTTTGGATTTCAGCAAAGCTTTTGATTTAGTGAGTCATGATATTCTTATAGAAAAATTAAAGAACTACAACTTTGATGAGCTGTCAATTAAATGGTTTCACTCATATCTAAATAACAGGACACAGAGTGTAAAAATTGGTACAACTTCTTCTGATGTCTTATCTGTCACAGCAGGAGTGCCACAAGGATCAATATTAGGCCCCCTTTTGTTTTTGTTGTATATCAATTACCTTCCCTTACATGTAAGTCATGCAAATATCGATATGTTTGCTGATGACGCAACTCTGCATATTTATGAAAATAATATATTTAGTATTGAAACGGCCCTAAATTCTGATTTAGAAAATATTGAAAAATGGTGCTTAGAAAATCAAATGGCTCTTAATATTGACAAAACACAATGTATGCTGATGGGTACTAAACAAAGGAAATCGAAATTAAATAATCCAAATCTCAGTTTACATGTCTCTGGCAAACACCTTAATAATGTTGAAGCAGAAAAACTACTTGGGGTTCATATAGATCAAACGCTAAATTTTCATGACCATGTAGACTCGGTCTGCAAATCTTTAACATACAAATTATTTACTTTGCGGAAAATCAAGAAATTTCTTCCTTTGAGAACTAGAAAACTGTTTTACAATGCCTTTATCCTACCTTCAGTTCTATTAATTATTGTCTGACTATCTGGGGTAATGCACCACATAGTTACATGGAGAGAATCCATAAGCTTCAAAAACGGGCCGCTAGAATTATACTTGATGCTGCCCCTGATGCTCCTTCTAAGACATTATTTGAAAAAGTAGGGTGGCTATCTGTTTTTGACTTAGTAACTTTGCATAAATGTATCTTGTTGTACAAAATATTTAACAATCAGAGCCCTTCTTACCTACAAGATTTATTTATTTGTCAAACTTTAAATGCGTATACTTTACGTTCAGAATCTAATTATGACCTTCGCCTACCAAAATACTGAACAAATTTGTTTAAAAATTCACTCCAATATTCCGGAGTTCATATTTGGAACAGTTTACCTTTAAATATAAGATGTGCACCAAGTCTGCCAGTTTTTAAACGAAATGTAGAAAAATATATCTTCATCAACAGAACTTGATTACCTCTGATTTATATCTTTTGCACATGTATATAATTTATATATTGTAAAATCTTACTGATATTACATTTTTATAACTTTTTATGTCATCTTTATTTATTTTTTTATCATTGCTATTTAATTATGATTATCATAATCATCATATGACATCAAACATGTACTTGTATTTTAATTGACTTGCTAAGTTGTTTGTATATCTTTGCTAATTTGATGTAATATTGTTGTTGAAATTAGAAGGTCCTGGGGAAGAATAGTGTGTCACACTAATCAGGCCACCTTCTCTAAATAAAGTATTATTATTATTATTATTATTATTATATTATTATTATTATAATGCAATGACGATGGTGCGCTGGTGACGATAAAGCGATATTCAATATTGCACCATCGTGTTATCGCACCATTGTCACCGCATTATTGCGCCATCGCACCATCGTTATCGCGCTCGCACTATCATCTCTTCATCGTTATCGTATGGAATCCGGATAGGGCCACGCAATTCACTATCGCATCATCGTACCATCGAGATTTGAGTCGATGGTGCGATGACGCAATAATGCGATGACAATGAAGCGATGGTGCGATAACGATGAAGCGATGGCGCGATAGTGCGATGACGATGATGCGATGGCGCGATAGCGCGACGACGATGATGCGATGGTACGATGGAGCAATAATGCAATGACGCGATGGCACGATAGCGATGATGCGTTGGTGCGATAGCGATGATGCGATGGCGCGACAGTGATGATGCGATGCTATATCGTGCCATTGTTATTGCTTTATCGCGCTATCGACATCGTGTCATCGCACCATCTCTCTATCGACTATATAGATAGGATGGCATTCTCAGCAGGTAGTTAATTCGAGCAAAGATTTGATTGCCCAGTGATAATTTACTGACTTTAATTTGATTTTTGATTTTGATGATCATATTTTAAATAACAAACACAAAGTACCAAGAGGAGAGAGGGAGGAATACTTTTGTTTTGTATTTGCTTTAAATTTAAATCGCTTTCTCAGAAAGTAAATAGCGATGGGTTTAATTTCACCAGGGACCTATATACTAGTATATACATGTAGGTCCCTGATTTCACGATGCAAGAAATTAATTCAAATTTCGTATATGCATTTACTTGTTTTAATAGTTAATGATAGCATTCACGATGGGTTTAATTTTGCAGAAAAAAATGAATTGCGAACATAGTGAAAGTAAAACCATCGTAATTATTTCCCACGTTATTTC